ATTACCTTTTGCCGTGTCTTCATACAGGCGTGATTGTGATAAAGTTATTGTGATTAATTCGAAGGACTGAATTATATTGTCTAAGTTTTATTTCCAGCCCTTCGGCTAACAGTGCAAATTGGAAAGATTCCGATACCATTATGGTTTTAAAACATTCTTTTAACCTAAGTATTAAGGAAGTTGTTAACGAGGTAAATTTACTGTATGAAAATTAGCCAATAATGATGATACATATTTAATATAATTTAAAATCTTATACTTTAGATAAAAATGCAACATGACGTTGATTACCATGCAAATATTATAAAATTTTATGGATTAACAAAACTAAATAATAAATATTTATTGGTGATGGAGTTTGCGGATGGTGGAACATTGCATTCTTATTTAAAAGAAAATTTCAAACAACTAGAATGGAGTGATAAATACAAATTAGCATTCCAACTTGCTAATGCTGTATCATGTACGCATAATGAAGGAATTATTCATGGTGATTTGGTAATATGAACGACTAAAAATATTTATTGTTTGATTTTATTGACTTGTTAATATAATATATTTCCTATAATTTTTTAAACAGCACGCGAAAAATGTACTTGTATATCAGAATAATATTAAGTTGGCAGATTTTGGTTTATCTCATAAAACAATTGACACATCCAGTCATCCGGAAAAGTTGTTTGGTGTTGTCCCTTATGTTGACCCAAAATATTTTAATAATGCTAAGAATTCTTACACATTAAACCCAAAGTCTGATGTTTACAGCGTCGGGGTTCTTTTCTGGCAAATTTCGAGTGGACATAGACCATTTAAATCTGAAAATAAAAAATATGATACTAATTTAGTTATGGATATTAACAAAGGCCGAACAGAAAAAATTGTCACAAACACTCCTAAGGACTATAGTAACTTATATGAAAGTTAGTCATCTTTTTTCAAGTGATTATTTATTACTTAAACAAACTGATATAAAATTCTTTTTTTATTTAGAATGTTGGGATTGTGAACCAAATGTGCGCCCTACTATGAAACAAGTTGTTAATTTGCTTAAAATGATCATTTATGGAGATTATAATGATAAAAATGAATATACAGAGAATAAAATTGAATCGCTAATAATTAAGAAACCTTCCTCAATGCTAGTAGACGCAGATAGTAATATTTCCAAGTTATTCATAAGCAAATTAATGCAAGATCTGGAATCGATCGATAATAAATGTGGTTCACATATATTGAATCAAGCAAAAGAAATATTTTCTGATATATCGGTCAGCATAAATATTCTTATTGATAAGCTAATTGACCTTTTAATTAAAACTCACGATGAAGGAAATAATTTTGACGAAACAAAAATTTTTATTAGTCAATGTATACATTTTTCAAATCAATCTTTAAATGATATATTTGAATGGCTTGAAAATAATCAAACAAAATCAAAATACCTATTTTTCCTAGGATATATTCAACTTAATTTCAATAGGGATGAAGCTGAAGCATTTAGTTTATTCTTAAAAGCGGCAGAAGATAATTATCCCATTGCACAAGTATATTTAAGTATATGTTATAAGGAAGGTTTTGGAATTACTAAAGATAATCAATTAGCGTTTACTTGGTTAAAAAAATCTGTAGATAATATAGATAATATCATTTATGGACAATTAAACCTTGGAATTTATTATGAGAATATTGATAAAAACTTGAAAGAAGCATTTAATTGGTATCAACAATCAGCCGATAATGGAAATTCAAGTGGATTATATCATTTAGGCAGATGTTATGAATTGGGAAAAGGAATAAATAAGTGTGAACGGGAAGCCTTTCAGATTTATACAAAATTGTCCGAAAAAGAAGTTATTGGTGGAAAATTTAGGCTTGGAATATGTTATTATTTTGGAATTGGAACAGATATAAATAAAGTAAAAGCATTTAATTTGTGTAAAGATTTAGCCGAAAAAGATTATGATAAAGCGCAAGTATTTTTAGGTTACTTATATGACAATAGTGAAGGAACAGAAAAGAATTTAGAAAATGCTATTTATTGGTATAACAAGGCAGCCGAAAATATGAATGAATCTGCGCAATGTAACCTTGGTTATTTATATGAAAAAGGTGAAAGAATTGGAAGAAATTTGGAAAAAGCTATTTATTGGTATCAAGAGTCGGCAGAAAATGGTTATGAACTTGCTCAATATAATCTTGGTTGTTTATATGAAAGTGGAGAAGGAATAAAAAAGGATTTAGAAAAAGCATTTTATTGGTATCAAAAAGTGGCAGAAAATGGATATGGATTTGCACAAAATAATCTCGGCCGTTTACATGAAAAAGGTGAAGGAATAAAAAAAGATTTAGAAAAAGCATTTTATTGGTATCAAAAAGCAGCAGAAAATGGCAATTTAGTTGCAATGTGTAATTTAGCTATATTTTATAAAAATGGTGAAGGAATTGTAGTGAATTTAAAAAAGGCTATTTATTGGTATAAAAAAGCAGCAATAAATGGGAATATTAAAGCACAAAATAATCTTGCATTAACTTATTATAATAATAAAAAAATGAAAAAGGCCTTTTATTGATTTAAAAAAGCAGCAGAAAATAGACATGTTAAAGCACAAAATAACATTGGTCGTTTGTATGAAAAAGGTGAAGGGACTAAGAAGGATTTTAAAAAGGCATTTTATTAGTATAAAAAGGTCGCAAAAAATGGTAATGCAATTGCAATGTATAATTTAGTAATATGTTATCAATATGGTGAAGGAACAGAAATGGATTTAATAAAGGCTTTTTATTGGTGTAAAAAAGCTGCTAAACATAATGATGCAGATGCACAAAATAATCTCGGCTGTTTATATGAAAAAGGCAAAGGGATAGAAAAAAGTTTCGAAAAGGCATTTGAATGGTATCAAAAAGCATCAGTAAATGATTACTATAAGGCGCAAAATAATCTTGCTTGTTTATATAAAAGAGGTGATGGAACAATGAAAGATTTACAAAGGGCTTTTTACTGGTATCAAAAAGCAGCAGAAAATGGGGATGAACATGCACAAGGTAATCTTGCGCGTTTATATGAACAAGGTATAGGAACAGAAATATGTATAGAATATGCTATTTATTGGTATAAGAAATCAATAAAGAATGGATGTCACGAGGTTAGAAAAGATCTGTATAATCTTTACAAGGAGCAGATAAAAAGTAAAATTAAATTTATGATGAATTTTGATGATTTGGTTAAGAAATTTGCCTAATAATGTCATAGATTATAGATGTCGATAAAAATTATTACGGGTTGCGTTATAAGATTTTGAATGAAAAATTATTAAAATATAGTTATTTGACCACGTGAAATTTTCAGAATATGTATTTATTCCTTTATGTGACATGTGACTTACGTAAGGTCAAGCATTATGTATATCATATTTTTTAATTTTAAAGAATTCAATCGTTAGATTTTTTTTGAAATTTCTTTGTATACTATCCAAGTAAAATTCTTTTTTTTTATATTATATTTTACTACCAAATTTTTATATTTATTTTTTTTGTATTTATAAAAAAATAAAAAAAAAGCTATTGTATATCGATATATATTCACATGATAAATATATTTTTTCACAACATATGTTCCTGAAGTTTTAATATAAAGAAATTGAGATTTATCGTAATTCACTTCAATTATTTTTAATATCCGGAATTGGCATTACTTTTTAGATGTATTTATCGATTGAATAATTTACATTATAAGAGAGAAATTAATGACTAAAAATGAAGTTGTTCTTGTAACTATTCTGAAGTACCAAGTAACCTTACGTTTTACAAGCTTTAAGTAATTTTTTTATTTTGGACTATCTAATTTTACGTGATGTTTGGGAGATGAACTTGATATAAATCGTGTTGGATGAATAATTATAATCAAAAATTATCCCATCGGTATTATGTATACACCGGTGGAATTTGGTTTATAATAAGTATCATTGATGTAATGATAAAATATTTATTTTGGAAAAATTATTTTAAATGGTTTATTAATATAAAGATGAGTACATATTTAGTTGTACTATGAAGATGTATCTTTAAAATTCTGATTATTCACTCGGATTTTTCTTTTTTCATAAGATAATAGTGTTGAATCGTAAAATCTTATAGCTTTTTATTAATTAAAAAAATATAGAATTAAAATGTATTAATAATCTAAATATATGCATGAAAAAAAATGTTTGTGCAAGTTAATTATATATGTTGAAATTAATTTCTGATGTATTTCTTTATATTTATTGTAAATATAAAAACATAATTGGCTTCTTGTTCTTAATTCCACTTGGAATCCTTGCACAATATCCATCTGCTTTTAGCTTTATTGTAACTTAAATTGCATTGCTTCAATGTGATGTAATAAAATTAATTTTGTAAGATAACATTATAGGCATGCAGAAAAGAAAAATAATGTATTAATAATTCCACCTGTGTATACATCATACACAATGAGATAAACCTGTTATTGATTATATCTACATCCTGTGAATAACCTAGTTATCCTTCACATCATATGGAATAACAAGAATTCATTTTATATTTTTAATTTATGAGCCATATAAAGTATGATCTAAATTTTAATAAAACTAATTCATTTGAAATTTTTTACAATGAATATTTTGCGTTTAATATATATTTATCTTTTTTTTCTTTTTTAAGAAAAGTTGTGTTTGGTAATAATACTTTTTCTACTTGATAGACATAATAATAATCACCACCAAAATAAACACATAAATATAGCATTGCATGATTTGCATGAATATGTTAGCAGATGGTAAAACGGATTGATTTATTTTATGGAATCAATCTCTTATAAGGAATAACGTCAAATTATTGAATTATCTTTATAATAAACTATGAATACTCATTTACGAAAACTACATATTATTGATAGGGATAAATAATTATAGTCAATGATACTTATCTGCAAATAATCCGAAATATTTATGTATTTTGAAATATAATCTAAAGCTGTTATACTTTTTTTTGTATAAAGTATTAAAATGAAAATTTGTTTATTTTTAGGTTTTGGACAACAATTCAATATACCACTTTAAATTGAACTATTAAACTTTTGAGTTTAGGCGACAATGATCTAATTTTGACAAAGGACCAACTAAAACTATTTAACAGCAAGGCCCAGGATTCGCCGACCCTTATAAAAACAACAGATAGCCCAAGTAGCCCAAGCGATCGTAATCAATGTTGTAAAACAATGGATAAATTAGTTTATCTCATGTTTACTAATGGTCGATCGTGATTATTTATATTGATATTTTAATGTTCATAAAAATATTAATGCAGATTATTAATGTAATATTTTATTAACTATTATAAATATTAAATAATGAATTGCTACATTTTTTTATAATTTAAAAGTTACATTATTAAAATGACAGTTGTAAAAAACTTGTAATTTCTTTTGAATATCATTAGAAGAAAATTCCAGTGTTGTATCAGAAAAAATTAAAGAAATTTCTGATTCTGTGTTAAAATCAATATATATATTTTTACTTGTTGAATCCCTAAGAATTAATGGTTTTGATGTTTTTATAGCATTAATTAAAGTATTCATAGTAGCAAGGTGTTGTTTTTCATTTACTTTTTTATATGCACGAATGCCTTGAATACTTTTGTGACCTGTTACTCCCATTATTGCATTTTCTGGTACATTAGCATCTTGAAGAATTTGAGCTACAGTTTTACGACCAGAATGATTTGTCAAAAGGCCAGGTAGAAGCTCAACTTTAACAGATTTTCCTATATCTTTCATAAAATTCCCTATTCTATTAGAACCACAATGTATTTGTTTATACCATACCAAATACCAGTTTTATGCCAAATTGGATTAATATGTAAATAGAAATTTTAGGTGCACCATTAGGACCTTTTGAAATATATTTTTTAATATCATTAATTGCTTTTGAATTTGAAGGAAGATAAATATCTTGTGCAACACCTCCTTCAATTCCACGCTGATTGTTTTTGCTACGATAACGTCAAAAAAGTAATCTACTATCGGTTAAATTATACTGTACATAATCACTAAAAACAAAATCATTCAATTGACTGCGTCATCCATATTGTAGTATGTCATTTTGTTATTATAATTTTGTATAAAAATTTTTACTAATGTTGAGAAGAATAAAGAGAAAAGGTGTAGCCGCCGATCCGGTTGAACCATGACGAAGAGTCAAAAAAGAATCAAACCAAAACAATAACGACAAAAAGGAATTAAAAGAGATCTAATCTGACACAAAAGAGAAAATTTTCCTACCTTTCTTTAACTGATCAAATTATCAAAAACAAAAGAACCGAACAATATTATTTAATTACCTACTTTGAGTTATTGAAACAATGGATAAAAAAATGTTAGTATTACATTTAGTATTATCATTATGTTAATCGGTTTATATATATTTTTACCAGATGAGGATAATAGTAATATTATTAATTGAAATGGTTACACGATCAATAAGGAGTAGGAATATTTTTTTATGATGATACACATGCGTAATAAATTTTTTTATTTTTTAAAAAAAAAAAATTTTAAAAAGCAAAAAAATAAGCCAAGAATGTCGCAAAGAACAATCACGCCAAACATTATTATAATCGCGGTGTTTAAATAATCAACTCAATAAGATTACTTAGAATGTCAAGAAAGGTTTTTGTCATTATTTTTTTTTTCGTGTGAATGTTTATCAGTCCAACAATAAGTATATATTGGGTCAACAATAACAAAAATATAGTCTTGGTTTTCTAACCTTTTCACCTCGCTCTTCGAGTAACTATAAATGGGAAATTCTCTAATTTTGCCGACATTTCAAGAAATAAAATAGAATACCACTCATCCCTTCGTAGCGTAACCAACGCGGTTCTACAACAAATTTGCGTTCAGGTTTCCTAATCAGTCACATCCCGAAAAATTTATTGTTTTATGTAATAATTTATAAATCGAGTACGAGTGAACAATTTAGTATGAACTTTTTGGACTCATTGTCAAGATTTACTAAACAAAGTGGGAGCAATTAAAACAGTTTCCGGTAGTATTCAGCTAAAGAAATTATTTTTATGTCAGCGAAGGATTATCTAAAATGAGGCTTGGGAACAGATTCATTGACCAGTAGCCTTTTTTTTGATATTCGTAAGAAAATGTTGAATGTATTATATCAGTTTAACAGTATGTATATATCGGACAACAATAACAATATAGTATTTAAAGACGTTGTTTTCTAAATATCTGTCTTTTCGAGTAACTCTCAGTGAGGAAATTCTGGCGCTTTATTCCGTCATTCAAAGAAATATAGAATTTCAGAACCACAACAAATCCATTTCAAACCTTTCAAGAGACGTTTCTGGCCGATATTTATATCATCTTGAAAACTTTTGTTAATTCTCGCATATCGAATATGAGTGAACAAAACAGTGTTGTTCTTTTCGGACTAACTGGGACTGGAAAGTCTACTATTTCTAACATGCTGATTCAAGGCGACATTCATGATGAAAAGAATGCGTTCAAAGTAAATGATGCTGCAGTTGGTGTTAGTTTTAATATCAATTGTAGCTCTAATGAAAAATTTATAGTTTACGATACGATTGGAGTAGGTGAACCATTTGATGGAACGGTTCCGCATCAAAAGGCTGTAAATGAGCTGAGAAATTACTTTTCTACATGTCAGGTGCCACTAAACTATATTGCCTACGTTAAAAAGAAGGGTAGAATTACCGATGATGATCATAAACAGTTTAAAATACTTAAAGAAATCTTTGAGGGAGGTGAAACGAATTTCATTATTATTATCACTGAATGTGGACAAAAATGGGTCGATAAGAACTTAAAAGATTTAAAGAAGTTTGGAGATTATCCGATTATTCCGGTTGATTTTCCTTGGAGTGAAGATGATGATGAAAGTGATGCTGTCAATAATGGATATAAAAGAAGTCTAAGTCTGCAACATTTAATTGTCGAGCTTTCTAATTTAAGTTATAAGGGGATTATACTTCAGGTTCTTAGCTCAAATCAGCAGTTCGAGAACAAAGTTGCTGAAGTAATTGACTTCATACCAGTAGTTGGATCGACATACCAACTGATTTCTGCTGGTGTTTATTATAAGATGGGAAAGTCGAATTTAGCAGAAAAACGATTAAAAAATGGAGCTTTCGGGTTGGTTTTGGATGCTACCTCTGTTGGTGTTCTTCGAGAAGGTGCAATTTTGAGTAAAGCTGCATATAATGGATTTAAGGAGATATATAATAATTATAAGAAATCAGATAAATGATGGAATAGGTTCTTTAAACTTGATTAAAATGCATTTATTTTTTTCTTATTAAACAAAGTATATGCTAAATAAAATCTAAGCTTCATATATATATATATATACGCTAAATGTTCTAAAACCGCGTTATTTACTAAAAATTTATAATGTTCTGTCAGTTCGCCTTTTTGGCATTGAAAATTGTAAAATTAAACTCCAAATATGTTCCGACCTGTTTGATTAGATGATTTTTTATTTGTAAAATTATCGAAATTTTTTTTCAAAGGGATTTGTGATATAAATTGGAACCATCGGTTTTTTTATTTCTATTATTTCTGAACGAGTAATTTCAATTAAATTACTCGATTTTTTTTTTGAGATTTTCGTACGAAAGTAAGCCACATTTATTCAAAAAAAGATCACTTTTGAAATATTTTTTTTGTCTGTTTAGCTAACTTAATATCACGACTATGGCATGGCATTTCCAAGTTTCCAATCACAACTTCCAATCATTTCTACTCCAATATTCGTTCACGTGATTCAGCTCTAGGAGCTTTATTCTATTTTCAAAGCGTGTTGTTAATGCATTAACCTTTAATCTTGTCCTGACATTATTCTTAACAATTGAACAAATTCATTTGCACAACGTAATAAAGGTGTTTATTCACTGTTTTCGATAAATTCCTATAGGGATGTTCATAAGTATTAGTCATTTTGTAGAAATCGTTGGAGCATTAAAACATCAATCGATGGAGATTTTCTTCAAACGGTTGAAAGTACTTTTCAGGTGCCGCAAGCACTGTGCCTTGAATGTTATATCAAATTCTTTTCAAATAGTTCTTGCCATATCAATTTAAATCAATATTTTTTTCCAATATATTATGGACATTGATTTCAAGTTAATTATTTTTATATTGTCCAACATAAGTGGTACAAATAAGTTTAATTTATGATTACAAATACTACCAATTGAAGAAATTATTGTCGTTGTACTTTCCTTTCATAATACTTATAAAATTAAGATAGCCGCTTTTTAAGAATCGATCTTTTGTTTATAGCTTCGATATCACATCACTTTTGCGTAACAAAAAAAATCTGTATTAAATAAAGAAGCGAAGTAACAATATTTACAATATTTTAGTTAATTTACATCTATATTTATGTCTTTGCAATTGTTTTGCCAATAATATGTGTAACGCGGAAACTGAACCTCAGTAATCGACGTGTGTAGAACATATGAAAAAAAGATGATATTTTTCAAATTACATTCCACGTAATTATTACCCCATTTGATGGTTTTAATGCAAACTTTTTTTTAATGATTCGTTTTCTGTAAGGTTATGAATCTGTTTTGATTTCTACTTACTTAAAATGTTTATAAAATTGATATTTAAGTCATAAAACATATATTTACATTTGGTGTGTAAGTTATGATATATAACGATTTGTCACACTTATCTATTGAAATAAATTCTTTATAAATTCAACTATATAATCAATACGTCTCGATGAAAGACCTAGATTGTAAGTTTCGGCAAACCATATCACGTTCATTAGAGATACATAGGAAAGAAGTTATTGAAATTTTTCTAATTTACGAAATTGCAACGAATAGTAATACCAGTACAAAAAAGATTGTAAAGGTGTTAGACCAAATCAAGAACAACAATTATTATCGAAAAGTGCTCATGATTGTCGAATTTAAACTAATAAATGTGATTTTATAAAAAGAAAAGGTATAGTAGCACGAATGTGAACATGACGAGATCACATATGGAAAAATCGATTTCATAAATATCTCAATCACGTCAAAATTATTAGTGTAATTTGTATTAATATATTTGCGTAATGATTTTATAGGAGAGCATATGAATTTAGTAAATTACTTGCTTTATTAACATGGTTTATTAAAACCGATGAAAAAGTGTTATATCTAGTCATACGAAGTCAACTCAAATTATATAGTAATAGTAATCAACTACCATATTTCTGATAAGGACCTTTGCCCATAAAATCGCTTGAAGTTCTTATACAAAAATTTAAAAATTTACCGGTGTAGTATTTCTGAACAAGTAACTTATTTCCATATTGTTACTTGCTAAGATAAACAATGTCTAACTAATAAATAGACAAATGAAAAAGATTAATAATAATTAAAATTTATGAAAATGTGTCCGTGGGAAGGATTTTGATTCAGTATCGCAGTAACTGCCTAAACTTTTTCAATCCGAAAAATATTCTCTTCACATGCTTTTTAAAGTTTCTAGTAAATTTTTCATAACGAGATATCAAATCTTTTATAATAAGTTAAACATTTTTATTTTTATATTTTGTCAATTTTATTTTCTAATCAAGTTAACTAGAATTTCATATTAAAAACTATATACCCTCGCTTTGCAAAATAAAAAGACGCACCATTCCTTTCAACTCTTCGATTCGGCTTGAGATTTTCAACTTTGTATAAAAACTTGTGAGACCATGAAGTATCAAGTTCGAACATGTCGTTGATCATTTCTCGACTATTGAGTAAAAAACCTATGTAAGGTTTACTCTTACGTCAGATAAATACGAAACAAGAGCTTTTTCCCAAGTGTTCAATATTTTTCATATTTTCCGGTGTTGGTGACATGATGGGTAGAAATGTGTGCGCAAAAAAATACGTTGTAGTTAACGAGGTTAAAATTATGTATATCAATTTTTAACAATCTTTCTCTTTATTAACATTAAGCTTTTCTTTGTTTATATTTATAAACGAATGTAATATAGCTGAAGGTTTTTTTAATTGAGTAATAATTATGCAAGAATTATTTAATAAAAATTAATAAATCAGTATACGTCGGCATTTCGGAGTCAACTTTACTAAAATGTCGATCGTTGCGAAATTACTATGGCTATTTAAAAAACTATCCAAGGGAATATCGTGAGAAAGAATTTCTATATATTATATTAGAAATGTCATTGAACAGATCTCTTTGAACCCAGCTAACAATCCCACCTTTTTATACCAGTGATCAATTTGGCCGGAATTGTAATTAGCAATTTTCAGCCCAAGTTTCGAAACCATACTATAAAAAGGTTTGTGTAATGTCCTTGTGACTCGCACAACTCATTCTTTGATAAAAAGTCCATTTATTATAGAAATTCTTAAACAATGATTAATTGATTTCTCACTATGGCAAGTTCAAAATTATTTCTTGGAAATTTATCAGAACTGACAATTCATATTATCCAATATTTACGAAAATTTTTAGAATCACTTCATTCATGCATTTTAGTTAATCGACTTTTTTGTCGTATTACGATTCCTATACTTTGGGAAGATCCATTTTCAGTTAAATGTCGAAGAGGACATCATTATAAATTTTTTGATATCTAATCTATTTGTCTTATTTAATTGATAATGATAAAAAAAGTTTATCGGACCTTGGAATTAAAATCAATCCGTCTCCATTTTTTAAACCTTCATTTAGCTACCCAGTTTTATTAAAACCTTAAGTATATTTCGATTGATATTGCACACTGATAATTTGATAAATCATTTTAGTAAATCAAACTCTCATAAATTTACTTTTAATTCAATGCGAGAAGAAAGTTACGATGGTTACCCAAGACATTTGTTATTTGATTTGCATCCAAAAGAATCAAAAATAAATTCGATTTGTATTTTATTATTCAAATTATTTATAAATAGTAATGTTTTAAAAAATATTTCTATATCTTGCGAAAATTCTCGAGGTATTATTAATATGGCAGAAATTTATAAAATAATGTTAAATAATGCAATATCAATGTTGAAAATATTAACCTAAGAATAGAGAAGAGACAAACATGTTTTTTAACAACTTTACCATTATTAATACCTTCAATTAAGCACCTTAGTATTTGTGCTCATACAAACAACTTATATGCAATTCAATCACAAGCAAAGCTATTATCTCTTTCACTTTACGAATTGAACGATTCTTTTAAGTGTTACTTTAATACTTTAACTTTAATTAAGTTTGTTAATTGTGATTTTACAAAGGTTTTGACATTTGATGGACTAAAAAATCTCACACAACTTAATTCACTTCATTTCGATCAATGCTATGGCATTACAACACTATTTCTTCAACCATTATTGGACATTACCACCCCATTAAAAATCAAATCATTAAAAGTAGTTGGTCACTTCCCAGTTCTTGATTTATTACTTCAAAAAATTGGTTCTCTTTTAGAAAATTTAGAATTATTTCTATATGATGGTTATTTTGTAAGTTTTGTGATAAAATTAAATTTTTATACTTATCGTTATATAACATTAATCAAAATAATTTATTTACATTATATGAATTAAATGAGTTGATTACACATTTTAGCAAAAGTCTTAGATACCTTTCTTTTAAAAATGATTCGTTGGATCCTAATGGTTCGCGAAGAATTATTAGAATAGATTCAATGATTTTAAAATTTCTCGGTCAGATATTACCAGATTCTCTGGAATATTTAAATTTAGATTTCGCATTTCAACCAAATGACTTAAAAGTCTTTTTGGATAATTGTCGACACGTTGGATTGAAAAAATTATTAGTTAAAAATAACTATGATGATCTTTTTGATGAGACTTTTAGCATTTTAAAAGAATTTGTAGAGAGGAAAAAGGTGAAATATTTTGCTTACGAACTCGCTTATCTTTTTCAACAAGACAATCCGAAATATAAAAATTTGGAAAAGTTGGCTAGTGAAGTTCAACCTTTTGTGAAAATAAGGAAATATAGTGATTTAATTGTGACGATTTCAGATTATTATAGTATTTTTTAGTTCATTCATTCCAGGAAATATAAAATTTATTTTCTGTATCTAAATATAAAAAAAAAAAAATTTATATCATAGGATGTCACGAATTGCTCGAAAAGTTATTTTCCTTTTTTTTTTAAAAAAAAAAAAATTTTATTTCTCGAGAAATATTAAAGTTATCGATAAGAGATATAGGATATTGATTGAAGGAAATATTTTAATATTTTAATAATTTTATTTTTTTATTTTGAATTCATTTAAAATATTCCAACGCTTATTTCTTTTAATGACGAAATGCAAAACTTATGTAGGGTTTTTTAAAATTAGTTTGATTAATATCAAATAAATTATTTTTTAAGTTTGATGAATTTATCGTAAAAAAAATACATACAAGAAATTCATTGCTGTACACTTCGATACAATGGGAAAGAATCATATTAAGATAATTTTTTAAGTTTAATTCGTAAAAATGAATATTGGTGCTTTGTAAATCCGAAATTTGTAACTAGTTCACAACATTTAACTGGAACTTTTATCTATAAGCAAATAAAGAGCACCTTCGTTCTAATTTTTATATTAGATAAATTAAGCTTACCATGATGGTTATGGGTGTTGTTAAACTTAAACTGTTCGTCGTTAAGTTAACAAAGATTATTTGCTAGCAGGGAGTTTAAGTTCGTCTAAACTATGGAAGAAATAAACACGAATAGTTAAATTGAAGGGTCAGATCATCTTTATTGATATAGATTTAAAG